CTCTCTCCTCTCTCCCTCTCCCTTCTCACCAGTGTTTTGCTTCTACCTACTGCCTCCCCCGATCTGCCCTCCCTTCTATCAGTCCCTCCCTGCTGCGTAAGATAGATTTCTATATTCAACTGATAGAATATATTCTCTCTTTGAGCCAATACTGAAAATATTAAAGCACAAGTGATGCCCAATGCCCACCCTCCCATCTTTGCCTCCACTATAATAGGTTTTTCTCGCCTCTTCATGTGAAATAATTTATCCCATTCTACCTCTCCCTTCCTTTTGCACCCAGTATTCTCCACTTTCTCATCCTTTATTTTTTTATGTATTCCCTCAAATTCATCTTATACCCATACACTCTGTCTATGTATATTCCTTCTAGCTGTATTATTAGTGGTACAATTTTAAGAATTAGAAGTATCATCTTCCCATGTAGGGATGCAAACAGTTCAGCTCCATTGAATCCCTTATGTTTTCTTTTCTCTTTTTTTCCCTTTCTAGGCTTTTCTTGGGTTTTGATACTGGAGATCAAATTTTTGTTCAGTTCTGTTCTCCTGACAAAAGCATGAACAATTTCATTGAATGATCATTTTTTTCCCTTGAAGTATTATGCTTAATTTTGCCAGGTAGGTAGATCTTGGTTGTAGTCCTAGCTCCTTTGCCTTCTAGAATATCATGCTCCATGACCCCTGATCCTTTAATGTTGCAGCTGCTAAGTCCTGAGTAATCCTGATTGTGGCTCCCTGATATGTGAATTGTTTCTTTCTGGCCACTTGCTGTATTTTTCCTTGACCTGAGATCTCTGAAATTTGGCTATATTGTTCCTAGGAGTTTTTATTTTGGAATCTCTTCCCTGAAGTGATTGGTGGATTCTTTCAATGCCTATTTTGCCCTCTGGTTCCAGGATATCAGAGCAGTTTTCCTTGACAATTTCTTGAAAGATGCTGTCCAGATCCTTCCTTTGATAATGGCTTTCAGGTAGTCCTATGATTCTGACATCGTCTCTCCTGGATCTATTTTCCAGGTCATGAGGAATTTTACATCTTCTTCTGTTTATTCATTCTTTTGAATTTGTTTGATTAATTCTTGATGCCTCATAGAGTTATTAGCTTCCACTGGCCCATTTCTAACTTTTAAGGAGTTGTTTTCTTCAGTTAGCTTTTGTACTTTCTTTTCCATTTAGCCAATTCTACATTTTAAGCAGTTGTTTTCTTTTTTTTTCAAGCTGTTGACTTTTTTTCATAATTCTCTTACATCACTCTCATTTCTTTTCCCAATTTTTCTTCTACCTCTCCTATATGATTTTTAAGTTCCTTTTTTGAGCTCTTTCATGAGTTCTTTCTGGGCTTGAGACTACCTCCCATTTTCCTCTAGGGTTTTGCCCAGTTGTTTAACCATTGTTGGCCTCTTCTGAGTTAGCATCTTAATCTTCCCTGTCACCATAATAACTTCCTATGACCAGACTTTTTGTTGTTGTTGTTTTTTGCTCATATTTTTTTGGCCTTTCCCTTTCCTTTAAATTAAATTCTATGCTCTCTCAGGATTTTTGTGAGGCACTAGATCTTGGCTGTTTACCTGGCGCTGCACTGACATTGCCCTGAGGCCTACAGGGAACCCTGGCGTCTGCTGCTTTGCTGAGGGGGTTGGGTAGGGGGGCGGCTGGCACTGCTGGAGGCCATAGGGGTATGGCAGCTTGAGTGTTGAGCTAGGGGCCTAGTGGTGGTGTCTGGCATGTACTGAGGCTGGTAGGATGTTTCTGTGTTTCCCTGAGACTATACTAATGCATGTGGTGGTCTGGCAGCTGGAGGTTGCCTGTTTGCCCAGGGCTATGCTGAAGCATGTGGAGGTCTGGCCCCAAACAGATGATTTTATATTTGATCCTGGAAGTAATATGGAACCACTGGAGTTTACTGAATAGGAGGTGACATGATGAGACTTTGATTTGTACATAGATGGCTCATGTAAAGATCGTACAGAGTTGGTAAAGTAGATATATAGGTTGGTTTTTGTAATATTTTTTGGTATTAATAAGGTCAAAGATTTTTTCTGCACTTTTGGTATCTTTCTGTCCTTTGGCTACTTCACATATGGCCCCTCAGGACTTTCACTCTTGTGCCTCCCTCTAGTATGGATCTCATTTGCATATGTTTGGTCCAATCCAGCTGTTTTCCCCTTCTTTACCATCACTTCTACCTCATCTATCAGCACATCTTGGACTATGAAAGTAGAAGTCCAAGTGTAGTAGCATCACTGTACTGGACAGTGAAAAGTTTGTCACCATGATATTTACGGATCTCTTCCATTTTGGTCCTTAAAGGCCCTTGGGATGATTTGGTTCAATTTACTCTCTGACCAAGCTTTCCCTAAACTGGTTTCAGGCTCCACTGTTTCTCTCAACTTCATCAGATGCTGCTGTTCATACTCATCTCCCATGTTTGTTCACCAGAGTATACAGACAAAGTTTACCTTATAAACAAGCGTTGGCTTTCGCTGCTGTCTCTCTCCACTTGGCAAGTAAGTCTTCGTCTGCTGAATAAGCTGCTTTCAGAGTTCTGTTGGTTTTCTTTTTGTAGCAACAATTTACAGCAGATCAACGTCCACATAAAATCATATAATCAGGATTGATGTTGTTGTTGCCTTTGAGTCATTTCAGTCATGTCTGACTCTCCATGACCCCGTTTCGGGTTTTCTCGGCAAAGATGCTGGAGTAGTTCACCACTTCCTTCTCCAGCTCATTTTATGGATGAAGAATTAAGGCAGAGTTAAGTGACTTGCCCAGGGTCATCCAGCTAGTAAGCATCTAAGGCCAGATTTGAATTCACAAAGATGAGTCTTTCTGATTCCAAGCCCAGCACACTGTCCAATGCACCACCTAGCAGCCCATGCAGTATTAATGACGTTACTGAAGTCCATTACCATTACTGATTGCTGGTACTTATTTAAATAGTTCAAGATTACGTTGTTTCAACTGTTTAGCATTTACTTTTCTCATCATTCTTTTTTCTAGCTTTTTATTAATTCTGATCTTTTCCCTGAGAAGTCAACAGTCTGACTTCTCAAAGATTCAGAGACGCCACCGCATCAATAACAAATCTTTTTCTGTCTGGGTAGAATACAATCTTTTTATATTTTTTTAGTGTTATTTCATGCTCGCCATGTATAGCATCTATCAATTCTTTTCTCAAAAAAAATTCACCATATAAAAGCATCAAGATTATTTTTTTTGTTGGTTTTGTTTAGTTATTTTGGTTGTGTCTGACTCTTTGTGACCCCATATGGGGTTTTCTTGGCAAAAATACTGGAATGGTTTGCTATTATCTTTTCCAGCTCATTTTACAGATGAAGAAACTGAAGCAAACAGTGTTAAGTGACTTGCTAGTGTCTGAGGCCAGATTTGACCTCATGAAAATGAGTGCTCCTGACTCTAGGTCTGGCACTCTATCTGTCTATGAGTAGTCTAAAAGTCTTTGGTCTCTGGTTTTCTGTGAACCATGTTTTCCCACATACTTCTCACCATCTTCACCTTTACATTGAAGCCACTGAGTATCACAGTATACATTGATTTAATTTGGGATGTGTTAAAAGTTTTTGTAGAATTTCTCTATCTCTTCATACTCAGCAACACTGGTTGGTGCATAAACTGAAATTAATTTCATGGTGGTATTTTGAAAATACTTGTCATCGGTACTACCATATGAGTTCATCAACTGTCCCATGAAATAATCTTTTTTTTGTTTCCTTTGGATGTGCAATAAAAACAACTCTACCAACTCCTTTCGAAAGCGATAATGTATATAAAATTCCTTTCGAAATTATAAAGTATGACACCAAAATAAAGTTATATTACTATTTATCTTAATCGAAATACTTAGTAATTGTAGTAGTTACTTCAATACACCAAGTATCCATGATTTCATTGTTGTGTAAACTCTCTTCCTACATACAAATGGCAACCTCTCCGTTTCTTACCACTTTCTAACTATAAATAGCCAAACTAACACCTGGTGGCCAGTCATCTGATCATGAGTATCTCTTAACTTGGGCTGGTCCTTGAATGCCAGATCACTGCTAGATGCAAAATTGTCATTCTATAAGGACATACTCCTGGTCTAAGAAGCAGGAATCACTCTCAAACCACCATGGGACATAAGAATAGGACTTTAATGCAGGACCATTATTATAGTTTTAAGTAATAATAATAAAAATAATAATTCAAGATTAAAAAATGGGGCTATCCTGAGAGAAGTTTGAAATAGTTACCGATCATCTTATTGTATCATCTAATTGTAACTTTCAAATGTGAGCAACAAATAATGGAGTTTTATTGTGATAATTAATCTTCAGCTATTCAAGTCCTACAGAATCTCTCATCATTGTACAGGGATGGTCATCAGTCTCAAAGGCTGTGCCAGGGAAACACAAGTTCTAGAAGGTCCATATTGCAAATCAGAAAGGCTGTAAGTACAGGCCCTGTGATCCTGGCAATCTAACATGTGTCTGTTGTTAAGGACCAGCTTAATTAAACTCAGAAAGACTCATCACCCAAGTTGGTAACAGGGAGACACATTTTTCAGCCACAGCAATTCCTGAAAGCCATTTGCTAAATTACAAAAGGGCTGAGATCTTCATTGGTGGAAGGAATACCTACATCAGTGAAATGACAAATCCTTGAAGGATTGAAGTAATCGCTTATCTTATCATTTTCTTAGCTTTGTGGATCTGATTTGGGCAATTATCATTGGAGAGGATTAATTATAATGAATATCGAATTATTCAATATTCCCTTAAGAAATGAGGTTATCCTAAGATAAGTTTGAAGTAGCTGCTGACCATCTGATTTTGGATTTCAGATAGGAACAACAGTTTTTGCAGTAAATATACTATGAAGTATAAAGTTTTTTAGCCAAAATAAAGAAATGTTTCTTTCCCATTTATTATCCCAATAAATGACAAATTATGACCCCCAAACCTAGCCATAGAGTAAGCCACAAAGGGTGGAAAACACGTACCTGTCTTCTTCAGACTCAGTGCTAAGTTCCATCTGAGCAAATGCATCCATTCTTCTGTTAAGACGAGCTTTAAGAAAAGAATGAAATATGTAGGTCTCTAATACCTGGAATGCACAAAAAAATTTTAATTACAACTAAGCAAATTCAAGTGTACCAAGTTTCCTTCTCCACTGACCATAGTTCCTAGCATATAGACACTTAATAAGCATTTGCTAATTAATGGAATACCACATCTGGACAACAAGAAGCAGGGGTGACTATAGAGGATTTGATGCAAATGACTGAAGTGAGAAGTAAGAATTATAGAGTCAAAGGTGCGGAGGGGATCATCAACTGAGGTGACTTCACCTGGGGGACAGACATTATAGAGGTCAATGCAGGATTGTCTTGGCTACAGTGAGCTTTGGCCTGGCCCTCTCCTCTCCCATTACACTCAACTGAAGGGACCCCACCTGAGAGACACCATCAGCAGAGCCCTTCCCTAGCCTATGACTAGCAAATTCCTTTCTCCTGTTGTTCTAAGCCCTAAATCTACTAAGTGAAAACCTCTTCACCTTCCTACCTTTTTTTCCAAGTTCTTATCCCCACTCAGTTGAGCCTTACAACTCTCTGGTTCAAATTCTAGTCTTTCATTTGGAAGCCTCACTCGATGATTAACAAGCTCCATTTCACCCTCTATCCCTTCCTCTTACACTCCCATCTTCAGGCACTAACCATTCTCCAGTGATGCCCACTCCTCTCAGACACCACCACACAGGACCAGAAGTTAGCACAGTGTTTGCTCTCTTGCTGCTTTCAATAAGTTCTCTTTATTAAAGTGCACATAATCTAACTATAATACCCCATCCAGATCTTTGCTGCTGTTATGTAGTGATTTCTACGTCATTGTCTTTCCTTCCTCAATGAATTCCACCTCTTCCCCTATCAGGGGTGCCTTACACTCCTAGCCTTAACCCCCCCCCCCAGGACCTGGACTATCTGAGAACCAACCTGACATGGCCAGGCAGTAGGAAGAACCTCCACTACCACTGGGGGGTGCTTTATCTCCTTACTTTCCCCCTCTCCCCATTCTCTTCCTGGGCTGTTCCAGAACCCACCTGAGACAGCCTTAACATCTGTCTGGCCTCTATGCCCTGCAGTCCCTCAGCATTGCCATCTTAACTACTTAAGTAACTTAAGAATGTCTGAACCTTGCCATTGATTCAACCACTGAAGGCTGAAGACTTTTGGACCTTTCCATCTGCCCTGGAGCTAAACTGATTTATAAGCAATATTTATGAGAGCAGGGATTCTCTATCTTTTCCTGTTTCCATACCTGGTGCTTAGCACTGTGTTTGGCCCAAAGTAATCATTTAATAATTTTCCCCCATTCATTCACTCCTTATAGAGAATCCAAACTCTAATACCTAAACTAATTGGCACTAAAGTCACACAGAAGATTTTTCAAACATCTGGACCTCCTAGGTCATTAACACCTTCTATTACTATGACCTCTATTATTATCCCACCTCAGTCAGCTACATGAGTGGACCAACCTTAGACCTTGCATCACCAAAACCTTTTCATCCTCCCAAAATCTGAACTCTGAAAAGTCCTTTCTCTGATCACAATCTTTGATATTCCCACTTCTCCTAGGGCTCATTCCACCTAAGCCTTCTCTTGGTCTTTGCCATAACCTACAGTCTCTCCATTTCTACTTTCCTAGTCCATTCTCTTCCTTTTGGTTTCACATTCTTCCCTTCACAATCCTGATCCTAGTTCAACAAAGCATTGTCTTCCGCTCTTGAATTCCCCCATGCCTTCATTTTCCTATTCTTCAAGGCCTGCTGAGCCTCCACTGTAAGTCACACTCATCATCTACTTTCTCTGCTTTTACTCCTAAGGTGCTGAACCCTAAAAGGAAAGCCATAAAATCATAGGAATTGGCTCCACTACAAATTCATGTTACTTAACAATATCTGGCATTGATACAGCATGTTATAAATTACTTCACACACATTATCTCATTTGATCTTCACAGCAATCTTATGACATAGGTAGGAAAAGTCTTACTATCCCTATTTTATGGATGAGGAAACTCAAAAAGTATGTGTCTATGGCCACATAGCTAATAGGTGTTAGAAGTAGGATTCAAACCTAGGAGTCTCCTGACTCCAAACTCAGTGTTCTTTCTACCACACCACATTGCTGCTAAATTCAACTGGGCCCTCCCTGTTGTACACAAATCTTTTTATTCACCCAAACCTCCTCCTCTTTCCTTAAATCCTCAGCTTCAAGTCCAATCCCCTCTACCTTGCTTTCCACTTTGCTGAGCTCTCTCATATTCCTTCCTCCATACCTCAGTCTTCTGCAGTGGTGTACTGGAGTGGGCTCATACTGGCTTAATAGAGCTGATCACTAAATTTTCAGGGTGAGCATTTACACCTCAGAAATCAACAAATGCTACAAATCAGGTCCTGACTTATCATTTCATTGACTGCCTAGATTTAAAAGAGTGATGGAAAATATGTTAACAATGCTGATTAAATATAAAAGGTGTTAGACATACATTGTTTCCCATAAAGCCAGCTGCTGAATATTTACCAGCACACACTACCAGCTCCATCCCAGCTTTCAGGGGAAGAAGTGGGCTTTCTTTTGGCCAAAGCTAACCCCTTCACTTGCTCCCCTGATCCCATCCCTTCCCTTTCATGAACTTAATCTCTGTCCTCCTCTCAACTTCGATCTCTCTTCATCTACTTCCTTGCTGTCTATAAACATGCTCATATCTCCCTAATACCTCACTTTAAAAAAAAAAAGTCTTCGCTTTACTGCCTACCTAAAGCTATAGTCCTATGGATCTTTCCCCTTTCACTGATAACCTCTTAGTAAGAATAGCTGACAGCGTCTCTACTCTCAGACTTGCAATGACCATATCTATGAAGATGACTCCTAAAGCTATATATCTAGCCTTTATCTCTCAAAAATATTCTGATCCCGTATCTCCCACCTCCTACTATACATGTCCATGTGGATCAAGGGTGTACTGGAGCCAGGTCAAACCATCTTAGGGGAGCTTATTGTTAAATTTTCAGCGTGAGCATTTAACACTCCATCCACTGTGCCACTAGATACCTCTAAGTGAGACTGGAAACCTATCAAATCTGAGATTCTGTAAGTCTAGAGCTGTCCAAAAGTATATTGGGCTACCCCAGAAGGTAGGGAGTTCCCTGTTACTGAAGGTCTTCAAACAGACACTGGATGCCCCACTTTTGAGGGGACTGTAAAGAGTGCATTCCTATTCAAGTACAGATTTGATTTATATGACCTTGGTGATCTTTTCCAGCTCTTAGATGCTATGCTTCTATGATACACCTCACAAACAGGGTGGCTAGTCATACTCCCACATCATCAGGTAACTATAGAAATTACAATCAGAAGGAACCTTATAGATTATCTAATCTAAACCTTTGTTTTACAGAACAGGAAACCAAGGTCACATACTAGCTTCATGGCAGATTTGGGACTAGAACCCAGATAGGAAGATCAAACAAGATATCTGTATGTAAATCATTATATTAACATGAAAGCTGTTGTCTAGCCCACCAGAACAAAAACCTCTAGAAAGAAACCTTATTTAAATATATGCCATGTAAATAAATGTTGTTGAACTAAAATAGAAACTGAGCCCCCTACTGACTTAGAAAAACAGAAATTAACATTATCTATATGGTCTTGTATTTTCGTTAGATATTGTTAACAAATTAACCAATTCCCAGTTACACTTTAATCTGGTTCAGGCCATACTTGAGAGTTTGGCCAACAGAGGAGCCTTCAGGCCTCTATTTAATCTGACACCTCTGATGATAACCATCTCTTTTCAGAGGGTGTGGCACAGCAGGGAAAGCTGGCTCGGAATCCCAGAGCATTTGAGTTCTGCCTCTGACACCTCCTGATGATGCTGGTGCCTGGCAAGCCAATTAACTAACCTCTCAGCACTGCAGGAAATTCTACAAGGCTCTAAGCTGTAGAGGGACTTTTGGTGGAGGGAGTTTTCCTCATCCAGGAGTTCCCCTTATTAATGAACTCACAGGTCTCTATATCTTAGTTCTTATCTTCTCTTAATCATTCTTTCTATTTGAAGAATTTTCCTGCTCTAATCAGTTCAAAACACTGCAGAAAATGAAATAAAAATAGCTAGATTGCTGTTAAGATAACAAACACCCTCAACTGGGAATTAATTGGGTTTCCACTATATTTTATGTATAATTTCAAATAAATTCTCCTATCTTTATGGATATCCATAGATACCTACTGGTTAAGTCATGTAAAGTTGATTTGCATTTATTCATTTAACCAATCACTCAATAAACATTTATTAAGCACCTACTATGTGCCAGGTACTTTGCTATGCATTGGGACACAAAAAGAAGCAAAAGACATCCCCTGCCTTCAAGGAGCTTACAATCTAATGGGGGAGAAAACATGGAAACAAATACAAAGCAAGATATATGCAAGAGAAATAGGAAAAATTAACAGAGGTGAGGTACTAGAATTAAGAGGAGTTGAGAAGATCTTCCTGAAAAAAATGAGATTTTAGTTGGGACTTAAAAGAAGCCAGGCAAGTCAGTGGGAAGAGCTGAGGAAGAGCATGACGGGCATGGAAGATAGAGAAAATGCCCAGAGCCAAGAGATGGAGTATCAGTTGTTTGTGGATCAAGACTCCTGTGTCACTGGACTGAAGAGTACATGGTGGAGAATAAGGTGTAAAAAGGCTGGAAATGTAGGAGACTTGGGTTCAAATCCCCAAGTGAAATTTACTAGTTGCTGTGTGACAAACCTCAATTCCTCTGAGCCTCTTTCCCCATTTATAAGTCTGAGATAATTCCATCTTCCCTGATTTGTTGTGAGATTCAAATCAGAAATCCTATATAGAACTCTGTAAATGGCAAAGTATTATGGCAGTTTCAGCTACCATTAGTTTTATTTCTTTTTTGATACTACTAGCTATGAGTAAAGTCTCTTCTGACCTAAACATCTAAAAGCGATCAAAGAAGAAAAGGACCCACATTTACAATATTTATAGCAGTTATTTTTGTAGTGGCAAGGAAGTGGAAACTAAAGGGGTGCCCATCCATCGGGGAATGGCTGAACAAATAAAGGTATATGAATATAATGGAATACTATTGTACTGTAAGAAATGAAGAAAGAGGGGCAGCTAGGTGGAGCAGTGGATAGAGCTCTAGCCTTGAAGTCAGGAGGATCTGAGTTCAAATCCTGCCTCAGACACTTGACACTTACTAGCTGCGTGACCTTGGGCAAGTCACTTAACCCTGATTGCCTAAGCAAAAAAAAAAACAAACAAAAACAAACAAAAAAATGAACAAAGAGAAGATTTCAGGAAGTCCTGCAAAGATCTGCATGACCTGATGCTGAGTCAGCAGAACAAGGACAACAATTTATTCTATAACATAACTATTGTAAAAATGAACAATTTTGAAAGACTTAAGAACCTCTCATCAACTAAATCATCAACCATAATTCCAGAAGACAGATGAATAAGAATGCTGCCCACCTCATGACAAAGATGAAGAGCTAATAAATAGAATGAGAAACATGTTTTTGGACTTCGAAAATGGGAGTGTTTATTTTGCTGAATTATGTTTATGTGAGTTTGGCATTTCTTTATTTTCAGTAAATGGGAGAGGGTGGGAGGTAGGAAAAAAAGTATGATTGTTGAAAAAAATTATTTTAAAAATCTTTTAAGTCTAATATTTCAGTCTATTTGCAATGGTATCAGAATTAGAGATTACACACACACACACACACACACACACACACACACACATATACACACAGATTATGTTGATAAGGCTAACTAATAAAGACACCGACGTTTTCTTATGTGCCTGTGGCATCCAGTTAAGCATATGATGGGCCTATTCCTTACTATTCAAGATGTTTATATCTAAAATGAGAGCACAGGCAGGCATTTATAAACAGAAAATCTTTAATTTTATGAAAATAAAAATATACTAAAGAAGTTGAATTCAGTTTTAAAGATGACTCAGTCTAGTGATTTGTCGAGTTTTCTTGATCAAAAATTAATACCATCCAAAGCATATGGGATTAATAGAAGAATTCTTGTAGGTGGGAAGCTAAAGTAATAACAATACTTTAAAGGTTTTCAAAGCACTTACTAAATATTATTTGCACCTCACAATAGCCCTTGGTAGAGACCAGGTGACCTTCTCAGCCTGGAATATTCCTGCCCCACTAGTCCCTGTGGTGAGTTCTTCCTGGGGTTTCCATTTCGTGAAAGGGCTCAGGCCTGGCTGCCTTCATCCTCCCTCCCCCCCCCACCTCCACACCTCTGCCCTGACTTCCTGAACTTCAAAACCAATTTACATTTGTATTCATTTTGTCTCATCAAAGTATTGGGCCCATTGGTTGTTCCAAACATCTTACTACAGTTTTAAGTTTTAATATGTTGAAGGTTTAATTAAGCTCTGCCTGCATGAAAACTTTTGGAACATCCTGTATATGATGGAATAAATAATATTTCTAAACTATAAAATAAATAATTGCAATATCTAAGAATATCAATATAATTATTTTAATTAATCTATTTTACATGTAATATATTTATAGATGCTACATAAATTAAAAAGGTTTTTTTTTTACCTTTTTATAAAATGGTTGATCCCCTGGTGCTCTCGTTTTGAGAAATTCTTCACTATTGAACACTCTGTGTTCATAATTTAGATGGTTTTTTACTTCTCTAATAAGAGAAAGTACATTATAAGTCATGAAACATCTTAAAATATATGAAACATATATAAACAGAACAATAACTACTGAAAAATACATACTTTGCAAATATCTTCTTCAGAAAGTCTAGCCCTGTCTCCCAGTGACATGGTTTAGACGACATTGGGGACTTGCTGTTTTCTAGCTGTTTCATGCATACAACATGGCCTTCTTACAAAAACAATAATGTCATAAGCTCCTCCAGGGTAAGGACTGCCCTTTTTTTTCCCTTAGTTCCCACTCTCATTTCAGAAGTAGGAAATCAATGAAGACTTATTTATTCAGTACATTTTAAGAAGGCAGAACTGACATTCTTTCATATATATATCTTGTCCATTATAGAGTATACCAGAGATGTCAAACTCCTGGCCTGCAGGCTGCAAGCCTCCCCCCTAGCACCTCCCAAACCAGATTAAAATGTAATTGGGAAATATTTAACAAAAATACATAAAAATACCATACAACATAGATAATGTTAATTTGTGGTTTTCTAAGTCAACACAAGAACAGGGATCAGTTTCTGTTTGAGTTTGACATCACTGGAATGTACATCTAATCTACAGTCTCTTTTAAACAGAGGAAAAATATACAGCATGATTTTGGCTATATGTGAATTAAGGAAAGCATTTAATTTAGTATTGCTAATAGCTAGCATTTATGTAGTACCTTAAGGTCTACAAAGCATGAACATATGTTATTTCATTTGATCTCCATCAAATACTAAGATTTTTGGTGATCTTCAGGGTTTTTTCCCATATTTCTCTGCGTTTTCTTCAAACTGTGACACAACTAAAACAAAGCCCCATTTTTAGCAATCCCAATATTTTAAATGTTTTCCCCTTATACTAGTTAAATACATTTCACTCTGGCTTTCTCAGCTCCTTGAAAATTAAGTCCTTCCTCACACACATATGTGGATATATGGAGGAAAGTTAGAGCAGTGTAAGATAGTGGGAAGAAGCCTAGAATTGGAGTCAATAATTCCTGGATTCCAGCCCTGGCTTGGCCTCTCACTAGCCATGTGACTGTGAGTCAAGTTTCCTCATCTGTAAAATAGGATAATATCTCTACAATTTCCCTCAAAGGAATTTTGTCATAAACAATTTATGATCAAGAAAATTCTATACAACGTGAACTAAAGATCAAATACTTCTACATGAAGATACGCTAAAAAAAAGCTTCTCTCATTTAATTTCTCTATGTTTTTTATGAACTTAATTTATAAAATAAATACTATTTAAAAGTTTTGCTTCTTCAGAGAACAATCAAAAAAAAAAAACCAAAACATGAGAAATGGACTAAAACTTGAACTGTAAGTACATTTGGGAGTCAGAAACAGCATGAACTGTCTAAGCTGAAGAGTCAATTTTTTGCCATAATAACGAATCATTATTTGGTTCAAAGAAATAAATGCATAGTCAGTCAATAAACTAATATCTATTATGAATCTACTATGTGCCAGGCACTACACTCAGTGATGGGGATACAAATAACGCATAGCGAGCAAAGGTTAGCAAAAGTTACATGATGATAATCATTTCGGGTATTTTGAAGTAAGAAACCTCTACAGTGGCATCCAGAGAAGTGACAGCTACAGCTCCCTCCTGGAACAGGACACAAAGTGACAGCAGGAGCTATCAGGACAGAGTATATCAAAGAGCCTGTTTTTCTTTTCTAGAGGACTCTGGTGGATGAGAAAGCATTACAGAATGAGAAAGGGAAGTGCTGGAAAGAAAAGGAAGAACAGAGGGTTGGAAAAACGAAAGACCCTAAATTCTCTGGCAAAGATCAATCTGACTGAAAAAAATATTTCCAATCAATATTTAGATTGCATCATTTTATCAAGTATTTAGCATGCTTTTCTTTATAAGGGTGTAAATTGTACATCAGAAAGAACAGCTGCTGGATCCCTGTACTGGTCCAACAATGATCCCTGTATTGATTGGTCATCTTAAAATAACTCTACTTTACTAAATCTACCTTAGTACTGGGTACCTAATGGAAATTCAGATTCTTGACGATAATCACCAAAGAAGAGAGACACAAAAAATATTTGCAACAACAACGAAGCAGAAGAATGTTAATTCATAGGACTCCAGTTGACTCAAATTTTCAGGGTTGGCTTATCCAGTTTTAGAATCATGTGTAATTTTTGCTTCTTCACCTGTTGACTGTCAATTATAGCTAGACCAATTAATTGACTATTGGTCCCTCTGCCCTCCGCTGTAGTCCTCCTCCAATGTTTCCCCCAGTGCCAGGAAAGCCACCCTACAGTAAATTCTTGAAGGCTGTGTCAATGAAGCACAAGTTCTAACAGTTCCTACACCAAACTGGAAAAGCTTCAAAAGTGCAGCTCCAGCAACGAACTGTGAGCTCCCATCTACTAAGACATGGAGGGTTTGTCTGCCCTAGTAAAGGGAATATCCACACTGATAAAATAAATCATGGATCTTTTTAAGCATCCAGGAAGCATTCCATCAATGCACACATTGAGAAGAGGGTAAAATGCCACCTAATTTTGTTAACATTTAACATTCACACTCAAAATATCTGGTAAAGGAGAGATATGAAATTCATAACTAAAATGAACTTCCCTGACAATTTAACCACGGTCCCTCATTATCATGTATAATTGAAAATAGCATGTAATTGCATGGCTTTTGTAAATGACAGAGTTATAAGTGCATACCTGAAGATGTTGACAATTAATTGTAAAGTAATTTGCTGCATTTCAGAATTCTGTTTTTGTTGCCATGCCCTTCTACGTGCTTGGACCTCACCTAAATCTGTGCTGGCCATTAGATGAGAGAGTTCTAGATCATAGTGCAACTGAAGGCCTTCTACCCTAGAAGAAAAAAAGAGATTTTTTTAAATAACATCACATTTTAAAAAATAATATTTTATTTTTCCCCAATTACACACAAAATAATTTTTAAATTCGTTGGGTTTTTTTTTAAGCTTTGAGTTCCAAATTCTATCTTTCCCTTCCTCCCTCCCTTCCCCACTCCCTGAGATGGTAAACAATCTAATATAGGTTATACATGTGCAATCACGTAAAACATTTCCAAATTAGTCATTTTGTGGAAGAAAGAACGAAAGGAAGGAAGGAAGGAAGGAAGGAAGGAAGGAAGGAAGGAAAGAAAAATAGTATGCTTCAGTATGTATTCAGATGCCATTGGCTCTTTCTCTGGAGGCAGACAGCATTTTTCATCATGAGTCCTATGGGATTGTCTTGGATCGTCATATTGCTAAGAAAAGCTAAGTCATTCACAGTAGGAGAACATCACATTTTAATAATAATTAACATTACATTTAATAGCAGCATTCTCTCTATAAAAGTCAGATAACTATTAAACTATTAAATGCAGACAAATCAGAATGGCATGGAGATGGCTGTCAGTTCTCAAAGGTGAGGGCAGTGGAGCATTCCTTCTGGTAGGTCCAAACAAAGTGGAAAGGTAGTAAAAACAAGACCCTGGTAATGGTGCATCTCTGCTTTCCAGCCCGTTTAGAGATGTTCATCATCAGGTTTGTCACAAGGTGATTAATTGTATGGCCATAGCAACCCTTAAAGACCATCTACTGCATTATATAGGTGCTTCAACTAATGGAAAGAGTTCCCATATTCAACATTTCCAAATTCTTAAAGTAGCCAAAAAAACATTTTTATTGACAGTGTTGATCTTGTTTAAACATTTTACAAACAGGCATCAAATGCCTATTATAAATAACACTACTATTTCTTGGGAGACAGACTTTTTGCCCTCAAAGGAGTTTACAATCTAATAATGGCAATATGGCCTTCTCCGGGAGCAAACAGTTTACTTCTAGATGTAAATTAGCTATTTTGGTATATCTGAGGGTCATTCAAGGTCTTGATGAAGAGAGGGAATCACTAAAAGAGTTCATTACCTTTCAAAAACGAACAAATTTACTTTTACAATGTGGATTGCTTATTATAGAATCTTCATTTATAAAATGAGGTTAGATTTAAGTAATGTTTAAGGTTTCCTCCAGTTTTGAAATTCTGTGATGGTGATTCAACAACTTAATTAAGTCAAAGCAAAGAAATCCCCCCCCCAAAAAATTAATTTTTTTAACCAAGCTAAATACTCTTTTGTTGACCCAAAAAGTGAGCTTTAGATATTGGCTATAATAATGTTATTAATGATGATGACGAGGAGGAGGAAAAAGAGGAGGAACAGGACTAATACATATTCTCAAAGCACATGAGAAAAAGGAGCTATAAGATGCCCTCCCTTTTGCCTAGGCTACCTGCATCCCAGCCCAGTTTCTTTCTAGAGGGACCCGTAAGTCCATGAAAAGCCTTTCCCTGCCCTCCCCTAACCTTCTTGCCAATTCTCCCATTCCCTTTCTCCTCCTGACTGTATGCTGACCTTCCATCTCCACATCTGTAGGAAAGAACCCAGAGTCCCTACTCTATTCCAACTTATGGGTCCACTCCTCCAGATCCCTTGCCAGATGGATACAATTCTCCTATCACTTGGATGAGCAAGAAGGCACCCACTTATAGTAAGATGGAAGACCATTTGGTGTTACCATTTGCCCTGTCACTATGCCTAAGGTCTACCACACCTTACTACCTCATACCCTTCAATAAAGATGACAAAAGAGGAAAATGATAAAAGTTGGGGAGGTTATTGGAAAACAGGCACAATAATCCATTGCTGGTGGAGCTGTGAATTGTCACAGCCATTCATTCTTTTTTTTTTTCACAGCCATTCCTGAAAGCAATTTTGGAATCATGCTGCAAAAGTCACTAAATTGTGCATACCCTTGACTCAGTAGTGATAGTACTACTAAGCATACACACAAGAGAGGTTTTTAAAAAGAAACAAAAGATCCACATATGCAAAAATATTTATAGTAACTCTTCTCATTGGGGCCCCAAACTGGAAACTAAAGGGGTGCCTACCTACTTGGGAATGACTCAACAAATTATGACATATGAATCTAAGGGAATATCATTGCCCCATAAGAAATGACAAAATGAACAGTTTCTGAGGAAACTGGGAAGACTCATATGAACTAATGCAGAGTGAAGTAAAGCAGAATTAGTATAACAAACAACAAAATTATACAGAAAAGTAGCTTTGAAATTATGATCAGTACAACTGCAAACCATGATGGTTCAAAGATGAAGCCCACCACCCACCTCCTTCCATTGAGGTCGATGACCTTAAAATGCAAAGTGAGACATAGATTTTTAAATGTGGGCAATGTGGGAATTTGTTTGATATGCATACTTATTAGGAGGGTTTAATTTGTCTGTTTAAAGATTGTTCAATGGGGAAAAGAGAAAAATAAATCCTTGTTAATTGGAAAAAATAATAAAATTAAATTTTGGGGAAAACCTGAACACTCGTAAAATATGATCAAGTGACCAGAATTACATAACAGAAGTACTTGATTCTTCATACTCTAACACATGACAAATCACTGAACTACAAATATAAACCTCAAAATCTCCTTGAGAATTTAACAAAAAAAAATTGTCCTGTAACCAGTGTATTATCAAAGATAAAATTTTTCACCTATAATTGCTCAAGCACAATTGTGATCCACAAACATCTCAGAACAACACTTTTGGAAAGATGTTTTGAACATCTTCAATGTTTTAAACTTATAGTATCCAAATCACGCAGAATGGAAATCTTTCAAAGTATTGGGAGCCAATGGCAATAATAGGAACCAAGTGAGAAGAGAAAGTACCTCTCATTCATGTTGTTCTATCTGCTACTTCAATTGTCCCTAAAAGGCTTTTAGTGAGTTCACAGAAATTAGCCATGAGGCTACTACTTTCATTCTATTATAAAAACCCATTATTTTATCTACCTATAGAATAGTTTCACCAAGCACTAGATCAAAAGAATGGTAGATAGTGACTTGTCCTAGGACTATTTCTGAGGATCATCAAGCTGAAAGATTAGACGAATGAAGTTAATGATGATGATGATAATAATAATAATAATAATAATGATGATGATGATGATCAGATTGGTGGTATTAGAAAGATTAGACAAATGAAGTTAATAATAATAATAATAATAATCAGATTGGTGGTACATGTGTATATAGTTGGATGGAGAGTCAGGAAGGCCTATTTCCAAGTCTTGTCTCAAGATAATGGGACCCTGGACAAGTCAATTATAGTTCCACTGGGAATTCGTAAGGCTAAAGGCTGCAGAAAAATTGTCCATATGCATTGGTAGAAGGAATGTCCTTACAGGGAGTTCCTTATACCAATGAAATCACAGGTCTGAACTAAACAATATTAACTAATCTTTTTACATGTCATAATAGCATGTATATATAACCCCATCTTCTACAGGAAGCCTTTCCCAACTCCTCTCAATTCCAGTCCCTTCTCTCTACTAATTATTTCCTACATATAGCCTGTTTGTATAGATTTGTTTGCCTGTGGTCTCTCCCATTAGATTGTAAGCTTCTTAAGGGCAGGGATTGCCTTTTGCTTCTTTTTGTATCACTAGCACTTAGCACAACCCCTGGCACACAGAAGGTGCTAAATTAATGTTTACTGACTTACTGACACATAATATCACATTATGTATATTTACATATCAGACACTTAATATCTGCCAGATAATATACAGGGAGAAGCAGAAAAGGGAAGGTACATATATTATAAAAGGCATAAGTGCATTTGTTTACTAATCTCTTTTAAAATTATATAGAGCTTTATACTTTTCAAATAATTTTCACATCCACTATCTCCCTTTTTACAACAACCCCATGGGTTAAGTAGGGCAAAGATTATTTTTGCACTTTCAAACAAAAGCACAAAAAGATACATGATATACTTAACGTCACACCACGCATTAGTAGTAGGTCCAGGAAAAGAACACAAGTCCCCTAAGTTCTAGTTCAGTGAGACTTTCCATCATATCCCCTGACTTTTGTAGTATCATGGGCAGTCAACTGGTATCCTTGGCAATTCTTTCTAGAGTGCAATTATGGGAGACAAAAAGCTGTCCACAGCTGCCATCTTGGAATTTTGCTGCTTATGGGGATCCACTTTGTGTTATGCCTTTTCATTCATTGCTACTGTCAGATTATGTTCTTCAAACAGCCAAGATGTATTATGTATACTGTATAGTACATAGAGCATGTTTTCACTACCAATTCTCGTGATTAATGGTGACGGATAGATACTTCATTGTGCTGTTAGTGACTGCTTGCATTATTTATCAGAACATCTGACAAGCTGGCCACAGAAAACGGAATTGGCCTTTGAATGTTTTCCACACAGGGAACCTGTGATAACATTATAGACTCTATTCTACTCACATCTGGTTAGTGTAAGTTAAGGCTGATAAAAGGGCCCATAAAAAAAATCAGTCAGCTAGATAATTCAGAAATAGCATTGAGTTTTAAAAAATTAAAGCCTTCAAACTGAATAAAACCATAAGAAAGAGCCCCTGAATCAATATTTTTAAATGGTGATATTACAGACAGTAATATTTAAACCCTAGTACACAGAGTTTAGAAAGTGAAACTTAATTTGTAATCAAACAGGAAAAGGGAACAGGGCAGTACACATCAAAGAGCCTTCCTGGAAAGGTTAATAATACTAGAGTCCAGGTCTTTTCTAATGAAATCTCCTTCTCCTCCTGTCCCCCATAAACATAGGCACCTACTACAAGCAAGACACATTTAGAAATCCATTCAATACATGCTAAGGGGCTACCCTGTATAAGGCACTGTGTAGGCACTAAGATGAAAATACCATCATCTGCTGTCAAGAAACTTAAAACTTAGTAGGAGATTTACAAAACATATTGCTGTAACCCAAGGCTCAAAACAGAATGTAGGAACTGGGTTAGAAAGGCACACAAAGAAGTCCTTCCTCTTCTTCAGAAGAAGTAGTGACTGAATGGTCAGTGTGAGCACGAAAAGCTTCATGGAAGAAACAGTATTTCACAGCTGGGCTTTGAATGACCAGTAGCATTTCAAGATTTGAAGGTTGTATGGAGGGAAGAAGAAGGCGAATTCTAGGCAGAGAAAATGACATAAGCAAAGACACAGGGGTTAGGAAGAGCTGGAAAGGACAAGACAAGAGGGGAGCTGAGTTTGATGAGAACCAAGAACAGAGGTAGATAAATACTGGGAGATAAGATTGAGTTAGTGTCAAACGACTGAGCACCTCAAATGCCAACATGAGAAGTTTTTACTTTTATTTTGAAAGCAATGGAAAGCCATTCATGATCAAAATGACATTTTGGGAAGACTACTGTGTCAAAATGTCCAAGATGAATTGGAAGGGAAATAGCTGAAGGAAGGCAGACCTGAAGGATAGGATTGAAACAACCCAGGTTCAAGAGGTATGAGATCTAAAGTAGGGTAGCCACAGTAGGTACTAATAGAGAGTAGGTGTAAGAATTTTTGGGAAGCAACAAAGGCTCTGTTTACTGACAGGATGTTACAAGGGGGTTGGAGGGAGGAGGCAAACATGATTCTAAAGTTTTGTATCTATAGGTAAATAGGGAAATGGTGGTACCATTGAGGGAAATAATAAGGAAGAGCTAGGTTTAGAGAGAGATGAGAAGTTCAATGTTAGTCATGTTGGATCTGAGTTAAGAGATCAGGCAACCAGGTAGAATCAGCCAACTGGAGGATGGGAATACAAGACTAGCTGAACTCTGAAAACATGTCAGAACTATAGAGATGGAAAGATATTCATCTTTTCTGACCACTAAGGAACAATTTAGTGCTAAATACTATACAAATACTTAGAACTTTAGACTAACACTTAGAATTCTAGAAAAAAGTTTTTATAATTTTTCACAAATTAAAAATAAAAACTAGTAATCCATAAATTCAGAAAACATGCCCCAAAGCACATAACCACATAGACTAAAATTTTAAAAAAATTTAAGTTTTAAAATACAACATTACCCCCTTTTACCTTTGAATGAATGTCTGGGCAGCTTGTAAAGGGATGTCTGGAATATCAATATCGTTGTTATCATCATCCAAGGATTTGGAATAGGTAATGTTTCCACTGTCAATATTTATTAGGATTAAGCCATCTGCTTCCTTTCAAATAAGTATTAAAAATCAAAGGTTATTTTATAATGAAATAGTCATATAAAACCTTGAACATTCAAATATATTACATTTTGCTGTCAAGAATTCAATTTTATCAATGTACTTTGGTAAGATAAAATTTCAGTAATTTAACTACCTTTCGTTTATAGGCTTTTGCAGATCTGACATTTTCTTCCATGAAAAGTTAATAATGTATCAGAAGCTGTTGATAACAACAGTTAACACAACTGAACTCCCTTTTCTCCTCTGAACTAGGAGAAAAAAATATCAGTAAATGTCTGTGGTAGCTTTTTTTTAACCTGTTCAAACTCTATAAGCTTATCCACCAAATCCAGCTTAGAGCATTTTTGATAACCTGAAATGCATTTATTTCTTTTCTGTCACTAGGAAATTCGCAACTGATGTCTAAATTAGCAGAATGTCCTTCTTGCCAATACCCAAGGCCTCCTTTCATCTTTCTGGATGTGGAAAACAAACAAGTATAGTATAGGGGCAGAGTCCTAAAGTCAATTAAGGTAGAACAAATAATTTTATTTTAAAAGATCTGTACTGTTTTTACATTAAAAAATCAGTGAGAATCATTGGTAAATACAAGCCTATACTTGCTCACTTCTTATCTCTATACTCCCTAAAAGTCAATTTTATAAATATTAGAGAGATCTACAAATTAAATAGTTTGTAGTACATAGCTCCATATTCTTTTTAAACTTTTAAAATGTTTAGAATCATTCTGGTTCAGCAGTCTTGAATAAGGCTATGTTTTCATATGATAGATACAGTAGCTGTAAACCCCAGTTCTTTTTCTGGCCTCACAGTTCTAGGAAGTAAAATAAAATATAAATCTGAAAGCTAAAGAGAGGTGTCCTTTGTTTTACTGCTGGGGGTGGGGGTGGAAGGACCCACACATAAATGTTTAGATATTGTAAATATCTCTAAGATGCTGTTGGAATTCAACTTGGTTCCTTCCCCTGGCACAAGACTACTGGTGAATAAAATCAGAGGACCCAATTCAGAATTCTGCTAGCTAAAACATTTGTCTTCACTTCTGAAAGTTTCCAGAGTCATAATATGTGTAAGATCCTTCTACTAACAAGATCTGCTTAACTACAGCCAGCTGGAAAAAACTGTCAGTAAAAAAGCCAAAACAGGCTTCTCTTTTGGAAATTCTGGAGACAGGGTTTTGCTCACTGAGGGCTAAAAATAGAAGCAACACATTAATACTACGATGTGTTTTTTTCCCCCTTTACTACCCTGACCAGATGACATTTTTTAGTTCCTTCCATTAGTATTTGAATAGCCTTTTCTTGATGCACAATTTTTTTTCCTGGTGAATCATGCATTTCAGCATCAACGCCTAACTACACCCAATTATCCCAATCACTCACATCCTTAAGTATGACTAACACTAGACACACCTCCTACGGTCACTGCTGGCTGGTAAAAGCACTTTAAAAAATGACTTCATACCCATGCCACCTTACCAATCCCAGTAGACTAAAAAAAAAAAATGACTCATACTTACAGGTGTTTTGGGTTTTTTGGGTTTTTTTAAGGCAATTGAGGTTAAGTAACTTGCCCTGGGTCACAAAGCTAGTAAGTGTCACGTGTTTGGTCTAAGGCCGGATTTGAACTCCTGACTTCAGGGCCGGTGCTCTATCTACTGCACTGCCTAGCCGTCCCGTACATGGCATCTTTAAGTTTAAAGCACTTTCCCTACAAAAATCATGTGAGGTATGTAGAGCAAGAATATATTACTTTACAAATGAGGAAATTGAGACTCAAAGAGGTTCACTGATATTTTTCCCCATGGCTATACAAATTAATAAGTATAGCACTAGAATTCCAACTCAGGTCTCCTGACTCCTTGTCAAATGCTCTGATGGCAGACTGCCCCTTCAATTTACCTTTTCTCCCACTGGGGGTAATGTGTGCTCTAACTGAATCCCATAACCTGCTATGGAGGATGTTTGCAGTGAGATATAAAAACATAACCTGTCATGTGCTAAAATACGTCATAGAACGTTCATTTTTATACAATTCTTTGTGTGTTTTTTTTGGTTTGTCTATTTTTTCGCTAGGCAATGGAGTTAAGTGACTTGTCCAGGGTCACACAGCTAGTGTTATGTGTCTGAGGCCACATTTGAACTCAGGTTCTCCTGACTCCAGGGTTGGTGCTCTATCCACTGTGCCACCTAGCTGCCTCTATTTTTAAAGAATTCTTTACCAGGAAATAAGTAACTTGAGTAAAACTTGGAATGTTATATATTGAAGTGAACATAAATAGATTTAAAATGCATGTAACATAACACTACTGGGCTATCAAATAAAAGCCAAAAAAAATACGGTTTCACTGATAGAGACATAATTGATTTACATTACTACATATCCTCATTACCATGTCTGATTATATTACAATCAGTTTCTGTAATACAAAGGGGTAACATTTTTGTCCACATGTCTAAAATTAATTGTTTCGAAGATATGCTTAAATTAACCTTACTAGGTGATGATCTTCCCTCCCGGCCCCAAAGCATCTGTCTTCTGAAAAGTCTGGCATCCTTTCAAATACATTATCATTAATTCGTGAGTCCTAACAACATTGTTCTTAGTAGTTAAAAGATACAGTCCGATAGTCTACTACTCACCTTGCTAACTTCTTCAAAGTGATCAAGATGACAACCCATAAGGAAAGATGTAGGCGCCATTACAAAGTCTAGCATCTGACCAGAAAGGATGGGTACAAAGGTGTGCTGCCACTGAATAGGGTGAAGGTACAGCATAAAGCACTCAGCAATGAGTGTGAGTAGAGCCCAGTCCGAAGAGAAGAAGACAATCCGCTGTTCAGTTAAAATGCAGGTTATGATCTAGGGGAAGAAAAATAGTTTTGAGAATCTACTCCTTCACTGACTGAGTCCTGACTCAGGCTATTTTCATTGGCTGCTCCCCACACCTGGAATGCTCTTCCTTTAAAATCCCACTAAAATCCTACCTTCTACAAGAACACTTTCCCAATCCCCCTAATGTAAGTGTCTTCCCTCTGCTGATTGCTTCCAATTTACCTGATCTCTTACTTGTACATACTTGTTTTTGTGCTGTTCCCCCATTAGATTGTGAGTTCTTTGAGAACGTGGACTGTTTTCTTGCCTTTCCTTCTATCTCCAGGCACAGTGCTTGGCATAGAAAGCGCTTAATATATGCTTGCTGAACTGATTTTATGTAAATTCAAGGCATTTGAAAAAAATAGCACCCTGTAAATATCTGTCAAATAAGTGCAGGCTACATCCTAACACTTTGTGACGAGGATAGCATTAAAGACCCCTATATACATATTACATTTTAAACAAAAGAAGCCTAGAAATGTAAGATGCTGAACAAATCACCAAGATGGGGAATAGCCTCTTTACCATGGACAAGCAAGATATAAACTTTTCATAGAATTACACAATCTTAAGAGGTGGGAGGGACTTCAGATGTCATTTAATCCAACCTGTCCCCGAAAAAAATACTCTCTGCAGCAGTGGTTCTCAAAGTTTATGGTGTCAGGACTTCCTTGAACTCTTAAAAACTATTCAGGATCTCCAAAGACCTTCTGTTTATACAATATTAGATATTAACCATATTAGACTATAACCATGTTAGAAATTAACCAATATTTATTAAAACGTACTAGGATTATTATGAAAATAGTTTTGACCTTGTAGACCCCCTGAATGGGTCTCAGGGACACACTTTTGAGAAATACTGCCATATGATATCCTCAACAAGTATTCAACAGCCTTTGCTGGATTTGGAACAATAGCTAATATTTATATAGCGCTTTGAGGTTTGCAAAGTGCTTTACAAATATCTCATTTGATCTTCACAACAACCCTGAAAAGTAGATACTAGGGATAATAATCCCTGTTTTACATATGAGGAAACTGAGGCAGACAGAGGTTAAGTGACTCATCTAGGGCCATACCATGAGGAAGTGTCTGAGTCAGGATTTGAACTCTGGTCTTCCTGACCCCAGGTCCAGGGCTCTCTATCCACTGTGCCACCTAGCTGCCTATATATAATCCTAGCTCCTGAGGCAGTCTATTTCCTTTCTAGATAATTCTAATTATTTGGAATTCTTTACTCACATCAAAATATAACCCACCTCCCTACAACTTCCTTTCATTAGTTTAAATTTTGCCCCTGAACCTCATATAAAACCCATCTAATCTCTCTCCACACAAAGGCCTTTCAAATACTTGAAGACAACCATCAAGTCTCTTCTCTAGACTAAATATCTCCAGTTATTTCACCGAGGTCTTTTATGGTTTGGTTCAGTCAGATCAGGGATACTCTCTTGATCTGCCTGAGTTCCACGGTCATTTTCCAGATGGCAGATAAGAGCAATAGCTCCTAGGCCAAGGTTCTAGTTGCAGGCAACCATCTTTCCTGCTCTTCCCCCAAGCACAGAAGAATACAAGTGACCCCCCCCTCCATCCCTTCCAGTCATAACATGAAAGCTCACTGGCAGGCACAAATGAGTGAGGACATTTCAATCTACAAATACATTTTAAGACAATTACACGGTTGCTAAAAAAAAAAAGTTTAAAATAGGGTTTTAAAATAAGGAATTAATACAAAGATAAATGTCCACATTTGGTTCTGGTTTCCATTGAGTGTCATACCACATATCTGACATCAGACCTCTATGTCAAAGTATCAAACTACCTTATGGTCCTGATTAAGAACACTTCTAGCCCTAAAATGCTACGGGTCTAATTAATAATTAAGCTTTACTATTATCAGCTGTAACCACTCTTTGAATCCCCCTATTCCAAAACTCCTCTTCTGGAAGTTTCTAATTGTGATAATACTGGAATCATGGGATTTAAAGTTGGGGCCTCAGAATTTCATCTAGTCCAAGTGCCTACTTTATAGATGAGGAAACTGAGGTCCAAAGAGGCTAAATAATACAACTGCTATTTTGATGCTGCATTAAACTAATGAGAATGGTATTTGACTGACATTAAAAGATGCTTACCTGTAACACCTTCTCAGGTTTGAAGCACAGTAAGGGAAGATGAAGGTCTAGGTCTATAATGGGACTGTCAGGATCTGCACGTGAAGGAAACACTACTTGTAGTGGCTTCATGTTAAATACCTGGGAAAATCAATATTAAGGTTTAACACTGATGCTATGACTCGGTAGATTCTTAATGATTATCATGGCAGTTTAAAAATAATAAATCAAAAAAATCTAAAGCAACAAAATCTTACTAATCTACTGGTAGGGGAGGGAGGAGAGTCTGGATGAGAAGATATTTTCGGGGCAGCTAGGTGGAGCAGTGAATAGAGCACTGGCCCTGTAGACTGGAACCTGAGTTTAAATACAGCCTCAGACACTAACTGTGTGATCCTGGTCAAGTCACTTAACCCTAACTGCCTCAAAAAAAAATTCTAAAAAAAATACTCACAATACTATTGTATTATGTTCATGTTATATGTTTTTCTTTTTTTGTATTCCTGGAACTTAGCACAGTGCCTGGTACAAAGTAAACACTCAATAAATGACTGTCGGTCAATTGGGTGACTTAAGCACATGAATTAATTCAAACTAGGCTAACTAATGTGTCACCAAATAGAAGTCTTTGAAAACCTGCTCTAATAGGTAAAGACGATTTATAAATACCCTATCAATTGTTGGCATGCAAAAGAATTCTCCTAAAGCACTTAAAAACTGTTTTGCCTCTTAAGCAGGTTGAGTATGCTCTGTAAATATTTACCTTTTATTCATTTGCTTAGCAAATCCTTTTTTGTATAGTGAGAGCAAAAGTAAACTTCAGATTAGCTGTTTGTCCAAATTATCACAAAAGGAGTGGAGTCCAATTACTATTCCTAAAGCAATTCAGTTATAATTTTGTCATTTAACATTTCTTGAAAACATACTCTACAAAAAATGTTCTCAGAATGAAAATGTGATGCGCTGCAGAAGTGTTTACAAATGTCAAAACAAATGTCAAAAAGCTAATTGTTAATTCATCTGACAGAGGTGAGAGGTAGGTTGCCTGATGAAGTTCAATTTCACTTTAGAAAACTTCAACGAGGAACAGCTGAGTAACTAATTCAGTTATGGCACAGCAGGAACAGCTATACAAAAGGGGGTTCCACAATACTGCTGTACCCAGAATCTCTTTTTTGTTTTTATCAAGTATCCGCCATCAGGGAAACAAAGAATTCTAAAGATGAAACAAAGTGAAATACTACCAGGTATGGCCTATCAATGGTTAATCACAAAGGCTGAATGAAAACGATCCTTGGAGGTGAGGAGAAAAGTTCCTGAAGAGTTTTCCACAGTAAAAAAAAAAATTATGATGCACAATGGAAGATACTAGTTAACTTCTTCCCAAATTCTTATTTGATAGCATTTGGCAAGCCTACATTCTCGATTTAAATCTCACAATGTTAGTAAGCACAATGGCACTCCCCATGGTTATATTCATCAGGAATCTGAGACGAACTTAAAATATGCATGGGAATCCTTTTTTGGAAGTTATGTTTTGATATCAGTTGAATGTTGTTTAGAAAAAAAATCAACCAACAATAAACATGGAAAGATTTTATACTCTGCTCTTTTCAGTCAACTGAGTAACCAATTTAAGGTGGAAAAAAAGGAACAAAGAATGCTACAGAAAACTGTTACAAGTGTGCTGGTTTCCTTCTCATATTTTCATCAAGGTTGTCCTTAATATACATGTAGATCATTTTCATAATGATTTTATAAGTTGTCTGCTACTGCTATGTAGGACTGGTCTGTCCCTTTCATCTACAGATTATACTGGCGACAAATCTGGGATTGATACTGACCACATCAATCTCCAAAACATTTCAGGGCTTCTTCATCGAGATACATTATTTTTTCAGTCAGTCAAATAAGTATTTCTTAAGTGCTTACTACATGCCAAGCATTGTGCTAAGTACTGAGACTACCAAAAAGCCCTCAAGGAGTACACATTCTAATGAGAGAGACAGCATCTAAATAACCAGGTATGGCATAAATAGAGATGGAAGGAAATAGATCCGTGCTAAAGAGATAGGTACAATAATCCATAAAGGAAAAAATGGATGAATAATGCTTATTTTTCAAGTTTCTGATAGAGCTGGATGCCCAGTTCATTAGGTGAGAGAGAGAGAGAGAGAGAGAGAGAGAGAGAGAGAGAGAGAGTGTGTGTATGTGTGTGTGTGTGTGTGTATTTAGAACACTATGGATGGACAGTGAATTGGGCTCAGCTGAATAAGAGCAAGCTAGATTGTATTCAGGAAACTGTGCAGTGTTTCCAATGATTCTAAGCTGAGCCCTGGTCCAAAAACCTATCTTTTTAATGCAAATGTTCTGGAAGTGCTATCTAGCTGTTAATCCTGCAATATATTAATCACTATAGAATAAAAAAGTCATGAGTAATACAAGGGGAAGTGGAATGATATATGATAGGCATATTTCTAAAGATGATTTACATATAAGATGCAGCCAGGAGATGCTGACTAGGAAAGACTAAATGGGAAAATTATGTAGGCCAGCCGTGTGCCAATAGTAAAAGAGATGAATGCCCAGAGTGTGGCCCTGGTAATCACGTAATGTGAAAAAAAGAAAAACAAAACAACTTGGAGGAAGGCCTCAAATACACTGGGTAAATGGATCTTCTGTGGAGGACCTATAGCATATATAAAATGAAAAAGCACTGCCTGGATGAGATGTCAACTGCACAAATAGAGGAAATAAATGATAGTGAATAGCTATAGAATGTACATAGCACTGCAAGCTTGCCAAAGTGCTTTATACATGCGAGCTCACTGGATCAGTGAAATTCACAAATTCAATGAGATAATGAAGACATAACCCATGTTTCAAACGATCACACTAGATTTTAGCTCATCAATGGAAAGGGCCTCCGGCTAGAACCAAAGGGCCTACTAAAGCATTTTCTCACTAAGTTCTTGGGGTTCTAGGTCCACTTGTGACACTGATAAAAGTGTCTGATCTTGGGTAAATCACTTAACTTCTCTAAAATTACCCATTTTTCTGGAATGAAAGAATTTTGAAACTGGACAGAGACCTTAGAGATCATTTAGTCCAACTCTTCATTTACAGATGAAAAACACCGAGACCCCAAGAGATAAAGTCAAAAAGTCTTTCTGACTTTCTCACGTCAAAGATAGGGGTCTCGGCACATCTCTCAATAAGTGACTAGTCATGAATCACAACCAGAATCTGAGTCTCCAGGCTCCCAAATCATGGTTGTCATTGCTTTACAATTATGATCAATTATCATTAACATACATCTCTACAGAGGCGCTGTCAAGATTTTTGGATGAGAGAATGCTAGACCAATCAACTTTTATGGCATTCATTTAGGAATTCATTAACAGATTTTTTTTCTTCACAATTTTACCCTCCTGATATTGCTTCAAGTAGTGCTAAAACACGTCCTCATTCCTGTGAGGTGATGTACAATATTGAAAAGAGTGTGAAAAACCACACTCTGGTTCAGATACTTTCTAGCTGTGTGAGCAACAGGAAAACACAGCGTGTCTTGAAAGTCTTAGTGCAGTTTTAAACTTCAATAGCTTATGGTGTTATTAATAATCTTTAATAGCATAACATGGCATTAAGACTTTTGAGACAGCCGGTATGAATTTCCTCTATGCGTGTAATCCTTGCATGAAACACACTACAAGGCTGCTATGAGGAAACAGCTTAGTAACTTAGAAGGAAAAATATATAGGATTACAGATTTGGAAGAGACTTTGAGAGATTATGTAGTACAGGAAGTCTTAATTTGGGTTCTATAAACTTAAAAAAAAATTCTGATAACTGTATTTTGATATAATTGGTTTCCTTTGTAATTCTACATGTTTTATGCATTTAAAAACATTATTCTAAGAAGTTCATAGGCTTCACCAGACTGTCACAAAAAAAATTCAGAATCTTTTGATCTAGTCCAATCTTATCATTTTACAGGTAAAGAAACTAAGGCCCAGAAAGTTTAATTGATTTGCACAAGTTTACATAGCTAAAAGACTGCCCAAGAGCCTGAACTCAAGCATCATTCTGACACAAAATCCAATGTTCTTTCAACGTATGTTCCCTACCTGCTAATAACCATTAATTTGTCATTAATACAGCATGTGTCACATTCCAACAATTTTTCACATAGACTTCATCTTCAGAAATAGTACACCAAGCAAGGTTTAAGTATAGTCCGTATAAGTGTTTAAAACAAAACATTTAATTTATCTGAACATATTTAGTTTGTGAAGTGCAAGGTTAGGTTGCAGTAGGTGAGGTTATATGCCAGGTATCATAAAAGTATTGTTAATTCTTTAGCTAATTACCAGATGGAGCGGTCCAGGTGGAGGACTGGGGATTAAAGACAATTTTGCAGCAAAATCTTTTATTCGCTCATCAACATCAAAATCCTTACAAAGTTTCAGTTGTGCCAATAAACTGAAAGAAAATAGTCATTTTTGTTAATTTAGTGAGGAGAAAAAACTAAAATCAAACACTCCTGGTTAATATCAATTATATACCATAGCCTAAATCTTAACATAATGTTATCATCTGAAAAAATTAAATATCCTATCCTAACTGCATGTCTCAGATGAAAACTATCAAGAAAATTTACTTCAAGGTTTCATTTTAATACCTCCATGCACAAAAAGCTAAAATTTTTACTACTAACAAGGAATGCAATTTTAAAATGATTATGGCCTAAGAAGGAAGCTTTTCAAAAAGTAACTAAAATAAGACATTATAATCTAATAATAAATGGTGATAAAAGACAATAAAGTCACTCTAGACTTTTTTCAGATGACTCCTCTTCACACACTCAATCTTCCAGCCAAACCAGACTACTCACTACTCCCTCAAATCTGAATTCTATCTCTCACCTCTATGTCTGTTCTGCTGGTCTAGAAGAAACTCCCCCAAATCATCCCTGCCTTTTTTAAACCTGTAGATTTATTAAAGGCCCAATTCAGGTGCTTCCTCTTATAGGAAGCTTTGCCTGATCCTCAGAGTGCAAATTACATTTATTACTCTGTGTAAATGCTGTCCTCTTCCCCTTTTCCCCAACAGAATGTAAGCTCATCTAGGAAACACTATTTTTCATTTCATTCAGAAGAGAGGGTAGTGCTTTACACACAGTAGGTACTTAACAAATGCTTGCTGAATGAAGAGTTTCAATTACAAAATTTTGCCTAAAGACTAAATCTGCTTTTCTTCAGTTTCCACCTGCTATTCCTACAAACCTGCCCACTCCTGCCCCACTTTCAAAAACCTTTCCCTTGCTCTGTCCAACCCCACTAGCTACTGACCCATACTGCTCCTCGCCTTCTAAAACTCCTAGAAAAATTCATCTACGTATCTGGTGCCTCTACTGCCTCTCTGCTCTTGATTTTAACCCCTCATAATCCTGCTTCTGACCTCAGTATTCAACTAAAACTGCTCTCTCCAAAGTCACCACCAATCTTTTTTCAAACCATCTCTTTCTTGAACTCTGCATCTCTTGACACTGTTGATCACCTTCTCCTTCTTCCTTGACTTTCTTTTGACTTGTCTTTCCCTTCTCTAGGTTTTCAGGACACTGCTCTCTTCTGGTTCTCCTCCTACCTCTCTGACTACTCTTTCTCAGTCCCTTGTGGGATCTTCATCCAGAGCATGCCCATTAACCCGAGATATCCCCCTCAAGATTCTGCCTGGGCCCTCTTTTCTTTTCCCTCTATGCTGTCTCACTTGATGATCTCATAAGCACTCATGGGTTCTACTATCATCTCTATGCAGATGATTCCTAGGTCTGTATGTCTAGCCATAACCTCTCTCACGAACTCTAGTTTGGGATTATCAACTCTCTTTTGGATATCTTGGACCGAATCTCCCATTGACATCTCAAACTCAACATGCCCACAAGGGAACTCATTATCTTTCCTTCCAAGCCTTCCCCTCTTCCAAACATCCCTATCAGCATCAAGGGAACCACTATTCTTTCAGTTACTCAGGCTCATCATAATCCTCAATTCATCACTCTTGTTCACATATCCGATCAGTTGCTAAGTCTTACTGTTTCTACCTACACAACATATCCCTTTTACGTCTGCTTTTTTCCCGTCACACAGTAACCAGGCCCTCATTACCTATTGCAGGGACTGATGCCATAGCCTTCTAATCGGTCTTCCTGTCTTTCTTCATTCTAATCCATTCTCAACTCAGCTGCTATGGTGATTTTCCTAAAGAATAGGTGTGACCATGCCATCTCTCCACCCAATAAACTCTAGTGATTCCCTAGGACCTCCAGGGTCAGATACAAAGTTACCTGTCCAGTATTTAAAGCTCTTCATAACCTGTACCCTTCTTTCCGGTCTTGCTTCCATGCACTCTATAATTTAGTCATACTTACTGTTCAGTGCACAGGTCACTCCATCTCCAAGCTCCATGTCTTTGCACTGGCTGTCCCTCATGCTTAGAACATTCTTTCCCAACACCTCCACCTCTCAATTTTACCTGCCTTCCTTCAAGACTTAGTTCAAATCCCACCTTCTAGAAGAGGTCTTTCCTGATCCCCCACCCATCTGCTAGTGCTTTCCCCTCTGAAATGACCTTCCATCTTGTTTGTAGCAGGTTACTTACAGGCTGTCTCCCCCATTAGAATGTGAGCTCCTTGAGGGCAGGGACCATTCTTTTTTTTTTTTAATCCCCAGGGCTTGTTAGAGTATCTGAAAGCCCTTAATAAATATCTTTGATTGACTAATAGAATCATATAGAAGAAGTCTGATCCCTTTTTCACATACCACCATACTTAAGGCGGCTAAATCTTCTCCAGGCTAAAAATTCCTGGTCCCTTCAAATGTTCTTTAGAGGGCACGACCCAAAGGCCAGTCATAAGCCTGGTCACTCTTCTCTGGTCATTCTCCATTCATCTTATCAAATGTCCTTCTTCAAATGTGGTATCCAGAATGGAACACAGTATCTCAGATGTGGTCTGATCAGGGTAGTGTTCACCTTCGTGGTCCCAGACACCATACCTCTCAATATATCCTACGACCATAACCACATCATGGCTGCCATATGACACTTATGACTCACTTGGGGTTTGCAAAATTCTGGTCTAGCCACATCTTCTTCATCTTGTATTTATGAAATTGGTTTTTTGAATCCAAGTGTAAAGCTTTGTAAGGACTTCTTTTAAATTTCACCTTTTTAGATTTGGCCCAATAATGTAACCTATCCAAGATTTTTCTGAATCCTAAATGACATCCAGAATTAGCTACACTTAGAGGTTGGGAAGTGGGCCTGACTTGAATAGAATGCTGACTTGAATTCAAGGAGATTTGAGTTAATAGCCAGACTCAGACACTTAGTAACCGGGTGATCATGGGCACGTTACTTAGCCTCTGTCTATCTCAGTTTCTTCTACTGTAAAATAGGCATAATAATAGCACCTACCTCTCAGAGTTGTTGTGAGGATCAAATGAGATAATATTTGTAAAGCGCTTTCCAAACTTAAAAGTGCTTTATAAATGCTACCTATTATTATTACTCACTAACTTCACATCATCGGCAGATTTGATAATTAATATTAGAGTAGCATTTAACATGATGTGTCCCAGCTAAAGTCTGAAGTATTCTGTATATGAAAACATACTATCCAATATATTATTGCTATTAATTAATTGTTTATCTGTTATTAAACACACCCGTCGCTGTCCAAAGTGAAGAACAATAAGGTTGGCCTCTCTTGTAATTCTGTTCTTCAACACAAATGAGTAAAGGAAAATGTACTTCAACTTCATATGTCTTACATTTCATAACAGGGTTCTACCCATTCCCAACTAAGCCCAACGCACTTTGCATGCACATTCTAGTTGTAAAGAATTACTTTCATAATGAGAGATCAAACAAGTTTTAATTCAGAAAATGTATTATTTTTTCTCACTATAGACACAGGCTGGTGTTTGCTTTTAAGAATTAATAAATTTGCTCATTATTTTTCTCACCATGAACATTCATCTACATTCAGTCATTAGTTAATAACACTGGAAATTTTCATAATGGAAATATAGAGGAATCTAAAATTCAGTCAAATTCATACATAGAAGAAATGTGACTGTGAATTAATAAGGCTCTTTCATATGTGACTCAAGACGTCAACCCCATTTCTGTATTATTGAATACGGTCAGTAAAACTCTTCTTGTGATACGCATTTTATTTGCTGCATTATTTATTATATTTAGTTTTTTAAACAAAATATAAATGGACAATATATAAATTATTTGTATTGAAATAAAGACTTCAAATTGTGGCCAGAAAAAAAGGTAAATAAAAGTCAAGAGAAGGCAGTCCTGTGATTTAACAGTTATCAGACAATCTTTCTGAATATTTGTCACTTATTTTGAAACTTTAAAAACTTTTACTACTGAGACAAAAAAATTAGCCATAGTTCTTACCAGGAAAGACAATCTCTGAGGGCATTATAATATGGATATCTAGATATAAGACAAATAGCAAAAGGCACAAAGCAGCTAATGGCATGTGTGGTCTGCCCAGGTATTTCGAAGCGTGTTTTGCCATTGTAGAAACAGTGTTCATCCTGAAAGTAAAGTCAGACAATTACTATCTTGACCTTTTCTGGCACTAGACCTCTCCCTCTTTCTCAATAATAAGTTTTAGGTAACTTGTGACAAGCCAAGGAAGGTGAGATAGTACAAGTCAGGAGTGCCAGACATCCTGACACAGTGGAGAGAACACTGGATTTGGAGTTAAAGGAAACCTGGGTAAGAATCCAGGCTCTGCTGCTTTCTGTGTGACCTGAAAGCAGTGGCCTCAGTTTCCTTACCAGAAATCAATCAGCAAGAATTCCTTAAGTACATACTATATGCTGGGCACTATCAGAAGCTGAAGATTCAAAGACACAAAGAAACAGCCTCCCCCTTCATTTCCCCCCCACATATGTGTATTTACGCTCTATTAGAAGAGGTAACATGTGTATGTATATATATTCACATGTGCATATTCATATATGTGCATACAGAAACATATACATGTGCACAGGTGCATATTCATATATGCGTATAATCTATATACAAATAAAATATATAAATACACACGTGCACATTTATATGCCTAGATAAAGATATACACGTGCACATGTATATTAACATAGACATGTATAATTATACACGCATGTATGGATATACAGATGTGTGGAGTATATATATCATGTATACAAATGAAATATACACACATCTGTATATACCTGCTTGTTTATATGCACATATAAACATGCATGTGCATACATATGCATTAATATATGCCTTGTGTTATATACTCATAGAAATAGACATACATGTACATTTCTATATTAATGTTTTATTTCTGTGTGCATATAAATTATACATATATACACATGTATGTTCATATATATGCATATTTATATGCATACACGTCCTTGTGTATACAGTCGTATATAAATACATTTATATGTGCATATATATGTACATAGATATATCCATATAAATATACAGTACCTAAATGCATATATATACTTTGTATATAGATACACATGTATTTATATATATAACATACAAAATACATACAAAACAAATACTTAAATAAAAGTGAATTTGGAGGAAGGAACATGGAACTGGGAGTGGGGTTGGGGAGGTCAGCAAAGGGCTCACAGAGAAGGTGATGCTTGAGCTGAGCTTTGAAGTGAATCTGGGATTCGGGGAGGAGGGGAGGTGAGGATGACAGGCACAATGGCCAGCCTGTGCAAAAGGATGGAGATGGGGAGCTAGAACGTTGTTTGTGAGAAACAGGAAGGCTAGTTTGGCCGGACTGTGAGAGTATGAAGGGGGTTAATGTATAATAAGGTTAATAATAAATGTTCTTGGGTTATGTAGGGCTTTAAAGACCAGAGGAGCCTGCATTTGACTTGAGACTTAACAGGATGCCCTGCAATTCACTGGGCATGGAAGGGACATGGTGAGACCTGAGCTTTAGGAAAATCACTTTGGTAGCTAGTTGGAGGACGGATTAGTGAGGGGAGAGACTAACAGTGAGGAGTCCAATTAGGAGACTATCGCAATAGTCCAGGCAGGAGGTTTTAAGGACCTGAATCAGGGTGGTGGCGGTATGAGTAGAAAGAAGGAAATCAATGAAGAGAAATTGGATGGGTAGAAATAATAAGATTTTAAATGAGATGCTAAAATTACAAAACAAGAACAAGTCACCTAACCTTTATGAGTCTTGGTTTTCTTGTCTTTAAAATGGGGGTAATACCTGTAATGTTTCCCTTACAGCAAAGGTTCTTAACCATTTTTGTCATGGATTACCTTGGCAGTCTAATGAAATCTAAGGACCCCTTCTAAAGATAATGTTTTTAAATAATTGAAGGAAATGCTAAATTTCAGTTAGAGGTTAATGAAAATAAAAATGTTACCTTTTTCCCATCTAAATTTTTGGATCCCCTAAAACCCATCCACAGACTGGGCAGGGTGAAGGGACCGTAGGTTAAAACCCCTTGCCTTACATGGTTATTGTGAAGATAGAGATAATGTATGTAAAGTACTTTGCAAACCTTAAAGGGCTGAATAAACATAAACAATTCTCTTCAGGACATGCCTCGGCTGAGGTGACATGTTTAAGAATCAGTTTACAAAAGAAAAGTCACCAATAAGTCAACTACATAGCTGGGAAAAAAGTACCCAGAATCTCTGGACTCTTCTTTTATTGCTACCTTAAGTAAGGAGATTGAGGCATCTAGGTGGCACAGTGGATACAGCACCAGCCCTGGAGTCAGGACAACCTGAGTTCAAACCTGGTCTCAGACCAAACACTTGACCTTTACTATCTGTCTGACCCTGGGCAAGTCACTTAACCCCAACCGCCTAAAAATTAAATAAAATAAAAAAGCAGTGAGATTACTTCCTCTAAAGTAGGGCATAAAAATCTTTGGGTAGTTATTTTGAAAATGCTTTAAAATAAGAAAATTCCCCAAATCTACCAAAATGTCAACAGAAAATGTAAAACATAAACAACCTACTTGTGCAGGTCTGTAGTATTGTGCTACCACACCATACGTTCTGTTCCCACAAACATCAGTAAGGACCAGAAAATGCACCCGGTCTTCCTTGGGTTCAGGAGCTACACAGAGGCCCCCTATAAAAAAGAAAGGCGGGGGGGGGGAATTCTCGTTAGTCACCTACACAGCACAAATTCTTAGAGAAATGGCACCTATAGTTAGTATAGCACAGGAGTACTAAAGTCCTCTCGAAGCCTTCTTTTATAATGGACCAGAATTGGACTTCCAGACCACTCCTTTCTCCATCTGCAGATGACACAAAGCTAGTAAATAATAACAACGGATAGCATTTATAAAGCACTTTTAAGCTTGGAAAGCGCTTTACAAATATTATCTCATTTGATCCTCACAACAACCCTGGTATATCTGGTCTGTGAGCAGTTATTTGCATATTGTCTCCCCCATTAGATTATGAGCCCTTTGAGAGCAAGGACTGGTTTTTGCCTTTCTTTGTACACTGCACTTAGCATAATGCCTGTGCTAAATCCTGGGGCTACAAAGAAAGGCAAAAAACAGTATCTGGCACACAGTAGGTGCTTAATAAATGCTAACTGAGTATTTTTGCTTTTGCATTAAGTAAGCAGTTTCTGTTTCAGAGCTGTTAGTGCTGCGGTAGCAAATTTTGTTGAACTGAGAAGCACAATAATAGGGGCTCAGGAGCTACAGTGCTTAAGTATTAGGAATGCATCCCCTGTCCCCCTACTACAGGGTTACCTCTAGGACCCCAACAGAGTTTGATTCCTGGTCATGAGGTGATGGCCCACTGTTCAGAACCTCAGACCCACTGGTGAGAGGGCAATCTGGGGTGAGCAATCCAGCCCAGAAGGAGAGGAGGGCTACATACACTGGGGCTATACAACCATAACAGTAAAGTCTTACAGACAAAATGCTTTTTCCAGAGCACAAAAAGAGTATGGAAGGTGGTGCTTTGGATGAACTCCATATCTGCTCAACCCACAGTCATGGTCACTGCAGCCATCACCTTCTGGATATGATCAGAGTGAAACAGAGGAGGGCAGATAGAGGTAGGTAGTTATACTTTTAACAAAAAGTGTTTAGCCTTGGTTCTCTTCCACTAAGCACTTCAACCTCTATTATTCATAGCAACAAACTGTGCCTGAAATACCATGCTCCTTCCATGGGAATCGGTGCATCTGCAGGACAGCTCTGCATAGAACTGCCACAGGAACACCTTTGTCTTTATTTGTATTACCATCATGAAGAACGGTCACAGGTAGGCAGTGCGCAGCAAGCAGCATAGGTAAACACGGCCAAATCAAACTCTACAAGGTGAACAGAATTTGGGGGGATATGATGGCTTTTAAACCATCTGCTAAGCCTTCTTGAGAAATGTTCATTTATCAAAGTAACAGAATTTAGAATTATTGTTTTTGTTTAGTTGTTTCAGTTGTGTACAACTCTTCGTGACTCCTTTTGGGTTTTTCTTGGCAAAGGTACTAGAGTAGTTTTCCATTTACTTCTCCAGCTCATTTTACAGACAAGGAAACTGAGGCAAACAGGATTAAGTGACTTGTCCAGGGTCACACAGCTAGTAAGTGTCTGAGGTCAAATTTGAACTCAGGTTCTGCTGTCTACAGGCTCAGCACTCTCTATCCAGTGCACTACCTAGCTGCCCCGAATGTAGATTTTATTACCACAAAGAATGACACATACGAAGAACGTATAAAAATATGTAAAATGTCTAGAAAATAACGCAAAGTAAAAAGGTACAACTAAGAGAATTATATACACACTAACTCCTTTATGTCAAAACATTAGATATAGCATATATATAAATGTAGAGCCATAAGACAGTAATAATAACTATTATTATTATTATAGCTACAATTATACAGCATTTTAAGGTTTGCAAAGCACTTTACATGTCACCTCATTTGATCCTCACAACAACCCTGGGAAGCAGGTACTATCCCCATTTTACAGATGAGGACCCAGAGACTGAGAGTGACAAAATCACTTCCTCAGCGTAACATGACTCGCATGTGTCTGAAGCAGGATTTGAACTCATCTCCCTCATTCCAAATCCAAAACTTTACCTACTATGCCACATAGCTACTTTTGTTCTAAAGAAGTTAGTTTACTTCCAATTCTCATTATCTGATAAAGCTATGTTGGCTTCCTGACATGCTCATCTTGACATATACACAGCTCCAGCACAGGTTGGTGCTATGAAAATTGTGAGCTTGCTTAAACACGGGCTGATTTCTTACAATAAATTATTTTATAAGACTAAAAAACACACATTTTTAAATTAAGAAAAACCCTACAATTGAGATTTTTTTAAGTGTTAAAGTATGGTATAGGATTGTGATGGAATACAACTATGCTGTAAGAAATGATAAGCTCGGGGCAGCTAGTTGGCGCAGTGGATAGAGCACCAGCCCTGAAGTCAGGAGGACCTGAGTTCAAATCCGACCTCAGACCAAGCACTTGACACTTACTAGCTGTGTGACCCTGGGCAAGTCACTTAACCCCAATTGCCTAAAAATTAAAAAAAATTTAATTTAATTTAATTTTAAAAAAAAAGAAATGATAAGCTCAATGATCTTAGAAAAACATGGAGATTTGCATGAAATAATAAGAGTGAAATGAGCAGGACCAAGAAAACAATGTATACAGTAACAGCAATATTATTTTAAGAATGACTTTGAAGGAATAAGTCATTTTGACTATTATAAACCAAATTAATTAAAAAGGACATATGAAGAAAGATGCTATCTGCATCCAGAGAAAGAACTGATACACAGAAGTATGTATAGAATAATTTTACATATATTTACCTATTTGTGTCTAATGGAAGCCATCTTTAGGGCAAGGGAGGGAAAGGAAGAAAAAAGGGAAAAAAAGATAATTTATGCGATAACTTTATTATATATTTAAAAGGAACAGCAAGTTATATATGACAGATTTGCAATTTCATACGCGAATTATCTTTTTTATTATACTATATTATGGAAATGCTCGTTTTATTTTAGAAATTAAAAATAAATAAAGAGACCATACCTGGAAAGCATAGCTGTGGCAAAGCACTCAGATCAACCCCATTTGGAATACTAACATCTTCCACGTCAGGTACTTTCTGATCTCCATGAGGGCTCTTCCAGTTCTCAGTTCTGAGCCTGTCTCTTTTTTTCCTGAAGGATCGTCTTCTTGTTTTATTCAGATTACTACAACTGGCACTAGCTGTTGAACTGTCCTCTTTACTGATGAACGGAGGCACAAAAACAGAAAGAACCTCAGGCTCAAGAGGAAGAAGTTTTTTCATTCCCTTCTTCTGGGCAACCTAAAACAAAAGCAAAAAAAAAAAGGAATAAAAGCGTGATTTGTCATTTGCATGGTACTTTACTGTTTGGCTTATAGCTTTCAAAATTCATAAAATCATAAATAACCCTGGAGGTCATCTAGAACAACTCCTTTATAATTTACAGATAAGGATGATCATCCATCTCCAATAGGCACGCTCCTATGTCTCTCTTCCTTCTAGCAGCTAAATGCCTTTAGAAGACCATCTGTAATAGATAAATATAATCTTCCATCCCTGAAAGCTTTGGTCGTATATGTCTCCTCCTCCTTGTGGCTAAATGCCTTTAGAAGACTATTGGTAATAGATGCTTCCACTTCCTCTCTTCTCACTGTCTTCTACAATCAGGCTTCCAAACTCATTATTCAACCAAAAGTGCTCTCTCCAAAGTTGGCCAAATCCAATGGCCTATCTTTAATCATCATCCTTCCTGAACTCTCTGCAGTATTTGAAAACTGATCATCCTCTTCTTCTGGGATGCTCTCTCCTCTCTGGATCTATGTAACCATCTTCTTTGCTGGACTGCTCCTCCTTTGTCCCCTTTGCTGGATCTTCACCCAGGTCACATCTATTAACTGTGGGTGTCTCCTGAGGCTCTGTCCTAGGCTTTATATTATCTTGACTGGTGATCTCATCAGCTCCCATGAGTTCAATAATCATTTCTATGCAGTTAATTCCTAGATCTAACAAGCCCTAGTTTCTCTTCTGGGCTACAAACACATTATCACCAAGTTCCTCTTAGAAATTTCCACCTAGATGTTGCACAGATATCTCAAACTCAACATGTTCAAAACAGAAGTCATTATTGTTTCCCCTATACTCTACCTCCTTTCAAACTTGCCTGTCTGCGGACTCACTTCTTAAAGTCATCTTTGACTCCTCATTTTCACTCACCTCATGTATCTCTTGCCAAATCTTATTGTTTCCACCTGAACAATTTATCCCATAAATGTCCTTCTGTCTACTCACACAACTCTAGTTCAGGCCTTACTTACCTCATTACCTCTCACTTGGACTACCTCAATAACTTTTAAATTGGTCTTCCTACCTTAAGCTCTCCCACTTCAATCCATCTTTTGCTGAAATGATTTCCTAAAATATAGGTTTGACTGTGTCATTTCTGCCATTACAGTGAGCTCAAGCAGTTCCCTATTATCTTCAGGAACAAATACATTTAACAAATTCAACAATGTGTACCTTTTGCCTGCCATTATTATTGGTGAAGTGATGTAAGTTTGTTTCAAAAAATACTTCCATAGGCTTTTCCATTGTTTATCTTCTGCTCCATCTTCCTTCTCTTTTTGGACAAGGCACTGTTACTCTTTCCATAGCTCTTTTAAGTCCTAGTTTCATTCATATTAGATGTATTTATGTTATGGGGGCAGGTGGGTGACACAGCAGATAGAGTGTTGAGCCTGGAGTCAGGAAGACTCGTCTTCCTGATTTCAAATCTGGCCTCAGATACTCTGTGCCCTTGTGAGACTTGCTGTAGGCAAGTCACTTAACCCTGTTTGCCTCAGTGTCCACAACTGTAAAATGAAATGGAGAAGGAAATGGAAAACCACTAAAATATCTTTGCCACGAAAACCCCAAAATGGGGTCATGAAGAGTTGGACATGACTGAAATGACTGAACATTTCTGCTAGGACGCTTTCCAAATTGGTTATGGTCTGTTTTACAGATCTGAAAGTACAATGTAGTAGTATCATATAGTAATATAATATAATATACATACTAATTGCTTTAAATTTGTTCTTCCCATTTAGCTTTGGTTTCAGGACTACTAACTTTTCTTTGATATCTTTAGGCTCAAAGTGTCTTGCCTGGAGGAGATAAAAGACATTTATTTACTGTTTCAATGCAATATCTGGATTGAAGCATAAAATCCTTAGTCTCTATTTTTCCTTGGCATGCATCAAGAATTCATAATTAACTGTTAAAGCCATTTTTATATAATTGGAAGAAGATTCCATAAGCTGTTTAATGTGGTTTTTTTTTGGTGGAGTTATACAGTTTGATGGCATCCACACACATTAAATGATTAATAAGGTGGTTTGATTTGACTTCCCCCTAATCTGAAAGCCATCCTTAGAGTTCTATTTAGGAGAAATTATAACGGGCTTAAAGCAAGGCAGAACCATACCTTGTTTAAATCATTAACTTGAAAGATGCCATATTTGAATGTTGGTAGCATGTTTTAAACAGAGAACAGTTTTCCACGTGGCCAACAACAACTCTAATGTTCTCATTATATTTTGGCCCATTCAATATATTTGTAGAACATGTTAAAGTAAAACAAAGATTTTTGCAATAATCAACAAAGGCAGTTTAATGTTACTGAATTTTCTGCTAACTTGTTCAATAATGACTATACTGGTAATAAATTGTTCTCTACACACTCTGGAACTTTTTGTTGTGGTTCAGCCATGTCTGACTCTTCATGAGCCCATGGTCCATACTGTCTACGAGGTTTTCTTGGCAAAGATATCACAGCAGTTTGCCATTTCCTTCTCCAGTGGATTAAGGCAAACAGAGATCAAGTGACTTCCCCAGGGTCACACAGCTAGTAAGATTTTGAAGCCATATCTGACCTCAGGTCTTTCTGACTCCAGGCCCAATGCTCTATCCACTGACCCAGCAATATGCCTCTTAGTCAAACAGAAGTTAAGTGATACAAGCTGTGAATGTGTTATATAAAATACATAAATATGTAACTGGTCAGTATTTATAATTCATGTTTGATATAGCTTGCATTCTCATTACATTGGACTTCTTGAAAACATACAGATCACCAGAAATTTTCCATATCCATTTTCTTCAAGGGCTTTCTCTCCTTCCACAAATTTCCTTGCAATTCAAGCCTCTGTATGAAGATCTTAACTGATATAAAATTATGTTTTTTCTTCTTCACCTTGCTTTAATCGTTTGACTTTGAAATTTTTGTCTTTTTTTTACATCAACAAAATTGCTCCCAATATCCTTCCCCCTCCCTCATTCCACAGAATCATCCTATATAATATTTTTAAAGGAAGAAAAGAAGAGGTTGAAGAGAAAAAAATCAGCAAAAATGATCAACACATAGAAACAGCCTAAAAATGTATTTAGTATTCCATACCCATGTACCTCCTATCTCTGCAAAGGAATATGGTGGGTCTCATATGGACTCTTTGGGGCCATGTTTGTTCTCTGTAATTCTGCAACATTCATTCTTGATTATCATTTACACTGCTGTAGTTATTGCTTATATTGCTATCTTTTGATTTTTATATTCAATTACTGATTAAATAATTCTAGAATTTCAAATATGCTTTTACTTTCCAAATTGCTTTTTATTGCCTTTAACTGGGAGACATGGCTTTCAACTTTTCTACTGTGTGTACATGTTAGATATTGATATAATCCTTTGATGTTTTTCTGCTAGTCTTTGGAAGCTTTCTCAAGATAATTTTCCATGGTGGTATGTGATGTTTCTCCTTAAGAGTATTCCTTGATAATTCTACCTTTCTTCCCATTGTCATTATTGTTGCAATGGACCTGGAACATGGTCCTGAACTGACTTTACCATTTGTCAAATATTATGGGAAAATGCATTCATTGATGGAGATTATAGCTAATCTCAGCTTTTAAAATTACTCTGTTTTAGAACGGTTGGTCTGCTAGTTAAATTTGTGCTAATTCAAAAGGGCTTTTCAAAATTCCTGCCTAAATAAGACCATCTCTTCTTCAAAATAATTTGAGACATCAGCATTGTTTTGTCATTTCTTTCATTATTAGGTACTGTTTCTGCAATTTGCATTAAGTGAAGATTATCAATGATCTCAACTGTTCCTCCTTCAGATTTTAGTAGCTCCTCAATCTTATCTCATCTAATCTGGATTTAGGGTTGAAATGATTTCTTGTGATCTAGCCAGGCACTCGCTAGAAATACATTATTGTGTGACTTGGAGCTGAAGGTATTGTTCACAAAAGGAATATAAAGAAATCTTTGCCTGCAACCAGTACAATCTGTTCCTAATTTCGTTATGCTCTAGGAGAACTCTGTTTTGTTATGCTCTCATTGGAGAACAATGAAAGCATTCATAGATTCAGTCCATTCAATATCTATTTGGGGTTTGCCTGCTATAGTGGTCAGCATCATCCGCACTAAAGAATTTTCAGCTAGTGAGGGATAGTTATTTTTGATTTCTTCTGATATGTCTTGACTTTTTGTGGTACCAGAACAAGAAGGAGCAGCATTTTTTCCTGCTATCTTCTGCGTCAAGATGATCATCAAGACCCCACCAAGTAGGGCTAGCAATCAACTCTGTGTTGCCCCATCCATTTCTTTGATGGGAACAATTGTAGCACTTTGACTGTGGTGTTGTATTGTCAAAAGCCTAATTCTCAGCTTTTGGGGGTTCCTGAGTATGAAGTGTTTCATAGCAAACCTTCAAAGTTATCATAATAGTCTCAGGGTACATGAAGCCCAAGTTGGCTGATATTCCCCGGCTTTGGCATTCTGGCCTTCCTGGCCTGCCAAGGCATGGAAGACAGGTCGACCTTTGAAGGTGTTATTATAATCATAATAATTATTATCATCATCTCATTCTCTTCATCTTTTACAATGGGTTTCAGAAAGAAACAGTCCTGGGATGTCTCCATTCTGCTGTCTTGTTATTATTACTATTATTATTGTTGTTGTTGTTGTTATATGCACTGGAGGCTATGTTGTATAGTCACCCCTGGAGGAAAAGGGGAGTGCACAAACAAGTAAGGTAAAGAAGGACCTTAAGATACTGAGGTTGTGTGAGTCCAAGCCTGAGAGAGTATTGTATACCAGTTTCATGATAGCTTGCTTACATGGGTTCTGGATAATGGACAATACTCACATACTTTCCCAATCACCAACAGAATGAAGCAGTGTTGGGAGCTTCCACCCGTGCTTTTTTTTTTTTTAGTATGATGTTTTCAGTGATGCCATCAGATGCCCTCAATGAGGATGA